AACTTTGGAGGCAGATATTTATATTTATTTAATACAATCTACACAAACACATACAAGAAAAGTAAATTAGTCTTGTGATTCCTATCACTGAATCTCTGATCTCACTCCCTCCTGAGAGAGACACAAAGGGGCAGACAATAAAATGCATTAGTAGAAATAGCTTTGGTATATCTGATACACTGTACATAGTTCACCTTTTTGCTGTGGCAAAAGATATTTCATTTTTCACAGTTTTCCAGAGTTGAGCGACAGAGTGGGCAGTTTGATGACGCATCAACCTTAATTCTTAAAAAGCATCGGTATCGGCAATACCGGTCCTGTACTGACTTGGTATTGGATTGATACAAAATCTTGCAGTATCACACACCACTAGTTATCGTGGCTACATGGATCTAAATAGTTTCTCTTCAGAAGGGGTTTAACCACGATGATCTTAGAAGCAATAAGAAATACATTCATCTGGAGAGAATCATTTATGATGTTAAAATCTTCAATTAGTGGCCCTGGTCATGGCGACACGCAGCAGTGTGTGTGATGGGTGCTGCTGTGGGCGTTTTTAGTGTTTTTTTACTAATCATTTTAACTAACTCTTTTAAGTGCTTGTGGGGGATAATGGCAGCAGAGACTCCTCTTCCATGACTGAGAAAAGGGAGGCCAAGCAACCAACTGGATAAGGACAGGTAAGCTGCTGGAATTGGCCTGGTCCCTGGTCTGCAGGGTTTTGGTCAGTCAACACATACCGCCACAGTTTTTTTTCAGTAGAGCTTCGAATGCAAGCTGCTCGGTGAGCTGCATAGGTATAGAACCTTCGTGAACTGTTGTGGATGTAGCCCAGCACGATGCGGCTATCTGTGAAGAACCTTACTGCTTGAAATTGAATATCTATTTCAGACTGGATCAATTCAGCTCAACTGCCAAGACTGCTGTGCACAACTCCAGGCGTGGTATGGTGTGTATAGGGTAAGGAGCAAGCTTTGAGTTTCCCATTACAAACCCTACATGCCATTTTACATTAGAGTCCAAGACACACAGGTAGGCTACAGCCGCTATCGCCGCAGTGGAAGCATCTGCAAACACACATAGTTTTATTCATTTGTTATGTGACATGGAGACTGGAATGTATGNCAGGTAGGCTACAGCCGCTATCGCCGCAGTGGAAGCATCTGCAAACACACATAGTTTTATTCATTTGTTATGTGACATGGAGACTGGAATGTATGCTCTCTGAATGCAAATCTGTTCCAACTCAGTTAAGGAATCACTCCATGCTTTCCACTGTGTCTCTTTCTCCAGTGGGAGAGGTGCATCCCACTCATGCTGCTCTGAGGAAATGTCTCTTACCAATGACTTGCCTTGGATTGTGATGGGGGAAGCAAATCCAACAGTGGACAGCGTGCCTCTCCGAGTGAATGGTTTAATGTCTCTTGACACTCTGAAGGTGAAACTGTCAGTCTGGAGTTCACAGCTTAAATCCAAACTTTGCTGAAGATGCAAGGGGTCTGCTGCCAAATCTAGATCTTTAAAGGCACTTGCTCGTTCTTCCATGAGAAAAGCTCCATGACCCTTATACTATTCGAGGCTATCTTGTGAAGTCCTAAGTTGGACTCAGCCAGCAATGCCTTGGTTTGTCGCAGGAGACTGACAGCTTAAGGCCTTTGGTGATATGTCATCACAGCAACGTGCTCAGCTGGAGGTGAATCATTTTCTGCTCCCAGTTTTTACTGCCCTGTTACTTTCATTGACCAATGTAATGTTGCTATTTGCTGGGTGAGCTGTGAATTCTTTTGACATTTGTATTTTTTACAAACTTTCAGGAGATCCAGACAACAATGACAGACCTTGCGAAAGCAGGAGAACATATGATGCAGGGAAGGAAGGATTTCTTTCTTCAGGTGGCTGAAATAGAAAAAGCTCTCAAAGAAGCAGAAGCTCTCTTATTGTAAATGTGTCAATATTCCTCAATTTAATTAAGTTTTTTAGAAAAGCTTTGTATATGTTGCATGCATTATATTGCTACTGTAACTGAAACTAAACAAAGAATTCTTGTTTACTCATGTGTCTCCTTCATATTTCAAACAGTGAAAACACAGTTTTACACACAGCAGGTAGAACACGATGCACAATATCTTAAATATCATCTCATTTAACTTTGCTTATGTCTCATCTAAAAAGATTATTATTATTTAATTTTTTTTTACAATATATAACCAACTGAAGATATTGTATGTAAGAGCTGATAAAGCTGCACAAAGTAGTTTCTGGTCTTAACCCTCCAATCTTTGGGGTCAAATTGAACCCAAGGATGAAAGATGTCAGTATATTTGCAGGTAATAGGAGGGTTAAGATAAACTGAAGCTTTTTTCCTATATATTAATAATGATGAATATGCAGCACTAGATTACAATGTTGTACATGAACTCTCCTTCACTCCTCATTTCTTGTTTATCATTTGGTGCGACATGTTGTTGTAGGGGTTCTCTTCGCTTTTCAAGCTGGTTTTTAGAGTGCTGGTGCTGCTGGTGCTGTTTAAGTTGCTCACACCAGCATTTATCTCTCCTGAGCGGCTGGTGTTGTAGTAGTAGATGAAGAGGAAGAAACCTGGCAGGCAGAAAGAGATAGTCATAAGGAAAAGGTACCTTGTGTGAAAATGATGTTACACAGTTTTAAGATTTTTTTTTAGTCTCCTATCATTTTGTTTTACATAAATATGCAGCTTCTGTTTGCCTGTCAGCTTGAAAGGCACCTGATGAGGCTCTGATACATCATTCAGTGCATAATGTTATTTTGCACATATTTCAGCCACAGCTACATTAACTTAATGTTCGAACAAGTGTATTTTTCTCAAATAAATGCAATTTGAGTGGTATTGCTGGAATGAGTGGGGACAGATAGAATGGTTGCATATTGCGAATTTGTGCAATAATAACGTTTTGAGATTTGACCCAAGTGCAATAAAAGCAAGTGCAAACATTGTAGTTAGTTAAACTCAAATCTCTGGCATCATGTTTGCTTTGTTAAAACCATCAGATGGGGAAAAGAGATTGATTCTCTGTTAATTAAACTTGCATTAATGTATGATTTTACTACTTGCGACATTAGAAATAGCTGTAAAACAACAACAACAACAACAACAAAAACATGCTCTAAAGTTCATATAGTAAATGTGTTTGTGAACAGTTGCACATCCAGCAGACACGGAGCAATATTTCTTCTGTTCATATTTGTGGCTCTATTGTCGTGTAAATTCAATAGACACAAGTCAACCCAGGATTTCTGAATCTAACTAGGTCATGTTCACATAAACGGCTCAGTATTGGCACCGGATGACCAAACATGGACAGATGAAGAGCAACAGTGCTAACCACTGCACTAAACCAATATGAGCAATTTAAAAATGTACTACTGGCTAAAAGTAGCCTATTTGCTGTCGCCAAAGTCGGGAAGGAAAGCTAGGAGCAAAATGTTCATATCAATGCTTGTTAGGTTAAGAAAAAGATTGAAAAGGTCTCTAAAAACACTTGCTATCTTAAGAGACCCTCTCAATATCTGGGTCCTAAGCTCTAGGGGAAGAGAACTGGTTTATCAGAAGGTGACATATATGTGGACCTAATATTACAAACATAATGTGCTCTGGAGCAGGTTAGGTGTGCAGCATAAGTTGCATAATCTGAACTCCTGCTCCGTGGTACAAACCTCAGAAGGAAACTACAGATTCAGCTGATAATTCACTAACTTTGTCACCATAAGAGACCTGCTTTATATTACACACAGTCTCTTCATTTATTGCTGAAAATATTAAATAAAGTGGCTTTATCTTGTGTGGAAAGAAGTAAAATCCCACAAAACAGGATCAAAACATACTTAAGGTATAAACAGAAGGATTATTGTTGGGAATGCTGGGTCACACACACGACTGTCACAGCTGCAGATACCGTGGAAAGAGTTGAGGATTGTGAAAATGTAGTAGGCAGCGATCCGGAGGACACCATGGGCGAAGAAGGCAAAACCCCAAGTGATACCCAACATGCAACACAGGCCCAGGATGGTTGCAATGCTTTTGCCATTTTGGTTCACTTGTACATTGACTTTCTTAAATTGGTAGAGCCAGTACAGCATGATGATCAATGTAATAAAGGTGAAGAGGAAAACCAGCGCATAGTAGCCGATGTTGACGATGTAGTGGACGTCGCTGTCTGTTATCCAGCACCTTGGAACACAGAGACAAGTCAGCTTTTCTGAAATTCTGAAGGAAATCTAAGCTGCAGCATTAACAATGATTTCCCAGCTCACATGGTCACGGTGTCTTCAGTGTTATCGGTGTAGATGACCTGTTCACCGTATTTCCCAGCGATGAGCAGGGCAGACACAATTATACTTGGGAGCACTGGAAAAGAAAACAAATGGCCCATTAATCACAAAATAACAGCCAACAGCTAAATGAAAAGTTTGAAATTATGAAGGGGTTCAAAGACTATTCTGTTTTTAAAAAGTGAAATAGTGCTATGAACTCACTCCAGGCGGTAATGCAGACTTTCAGCATGTAATAACGGATCTGAATTGTGCCCCCTGTGTACAGCTGCAGGCAGAGGTGGAAGGCCTGTGCAGCAAACCAGGTGAAAGTGGCCAGCATAAAGTAGTGCATGAGAGCTCCCATGAGCTTACAAACTCCAGAGTTCTTTAGTTTTGCCACATAGCTGTTGGTCAGGAAAGTGAGGTTCAGCAGGAAAATGGCCACCATCAAGTGGATGAGAATGCTCGTGGCTTGACTGGCCGTCACCCTCCTGAGGAGAGAGAGTCATTATTGGAGAAGATACACTGCACACATTCGTTTGTTTTGGGTGCTTGTGACTTTTTGATCTCTAATATCAATTTATTATTGCAACATTTTGAATGTTTTAAACAAATCATGATATTAAGGCTAATGAGCAACTTGTTGATTTTGATAATCATTTAGTTTGAGTAACAGAAGACAGTAGAAAGAGATTTAGGTTACATTGTGAATATGATCAAATTCGGCGAAGCCTCAAGCTGCAATGATTTGTCATTTCATTTTAACTCTTTGAACTTTTTTTTTTTTTTCCTGTTACGTTTTTATTTACTGTCGGCTCATTTTCACTGCAGTATAAAGTCCTGCACCTCTATGGAAACAGCACAACATACAGAGAACTTGAAATGTCGTCTGTATAAAGCAATCAATAAAAAAAAGCAATCAATATCCACAGCTCTTTTCTAAGTGTCCACTCTGCAGACTATGGATACTTTACTTCTTGCATTTTCACAACTTCTACCAGGTCTTCATCTTTTACAGTTCTTTTATCTATTTATTTATTATAGAATCTACTCAGAAAGGTTTATTTTAATGGATTTTTGAATGAAACAAGTAGAATAAAGTCATTTTATTCAATTTAAGCTACCATGTGGTGAATTTAGGCATGAGAGAGATACAATAGATGACTGTGAGTCCTTGTTTACTGAGGCTTTCTGGCAGTACTCCTCTCCACAAGGGACAGATGCTATTTTATTTGCATGAGGTTTTTACTGGATACATAATAAGGTTGTATTCCAAAAATGAGGCCACTTATACAACACTCTCATTTTCCTAAAACCTATACTTTGACTTGATCTTATCAGAGCAATGTTTCACTGGAAACCACACTAATTTACATGCACTTTCAGGACATTAACCAACAAAGAACAGCATTGAGCCATCAGACTGTTGCTTTCTTTTTCATTTATAAAGAATTTATAAAGAGTTTTTAATGTTCACGCGTCCTAGTTCATACAGGATGAGTTAACAGGCTTTTAAACGTGAGCATTTTTTTTTTCAATGCCAGTGCATCGTGACATTATATTTTATAAATTCAAAAAAACCCTGATATATTTAGGTACTTCACTGAGACTGAAACTGTCTTTTTGGAGATATCAGATCTTGCAACTAAGACTGTTTCTTAATTTAGAAATTTTCATTTCTTGTCAAAGTTTTCATTTCCTAATGAAACTTATGTATTCCTGTGTACCCTTATGTGGGATTCTGTGTAGTTTGTATTGTCATGTTATGAGATGGAAGTCAAGGACTGGTCTGTGGAAAAGAATTTCCCCCTGGGGACAATAAAGTCTAAGTCTAAGTCTTCCTGATGACACTGCAGACAGCAGAAAGCTGGAAACACTTGGATTTCTTTCTCCTTTGTTTTTGTTAGCCTTGCCTAAGTCTGAATTTATCAAGTTCTGAATTGCTCCGAATTTTCTAATTAGATGATTCATCTGACAAGTTCTAACAAGTCAATTAAAGCCTAATAAGTTATTGGTGTTCTGATATAATAGCAGAAGTTTGACCAAAGAAATGCATGTTTTTTTTATACATATATATTTGTTTTGAGTGGGGACTGTATTTTTTCACTTCAAAAATCAACAAAATATGCACAACCACAACCTAAAAATCACTTGAACACTTAGATCTCTTTTCTGTGATATCAGAAATTACTGTTCTGTTTAAATGTGAGAACTTGAAAAAAGGGTTGAAAATGTGATAGAATTTGATTTCACAGATGTTTAGAAAAGTTCTTGTAATATCTTCAGAACAGTCCTTTCCAATGGCTTTTACCTCCATCTGCCTTCATCTTTTATAGAAACTGATGTTTCATTTGTGCGTCAGTTTTCACAAACTAAAGCAACAAACTGCAGTGGCTCATTTAGCAGAGCTGGATCAGATCTATTTGATTAAAAGATGCCACATATGTAAAGGTTCATAAATTCTACCTATACAGGAAGTGTATGAAGAGGGCTACGCTGAGGAACAACATGGACAAGCCACAGCCAACTTGGGTGATGATGGTGAGGTGGTTCAGATCAGAACTAGAGATGGTTTCGTTCGGGGGGGCCTGCAAAAAGCAAAACATTCACACTTTTAGGCACTTTGTCGTGTGATTTTGCATAGATTTATCCAGAATGGTTTACGAACAAACTCATTACAAATGGGTTAAAAACAGATAATATGTGAACATCCAGGCACTAGCTTTAAACTGGGAATGCAAATGCAAGTTGGTGTCAAAATATTACAAAAGAGTGAAACACACCAGTAAGACAGCAAAGAATGTCAAATGTGAACACTGGCACGTAATGTTGTCTCCATTCACTACTGTCTCACATCCATCACTAGTCCAATTTGGTTTTTTTCCTACAAGACAAGAATGGAGCATATGAACAGTGCAGAGGAACAGGAAGAGGACTTAAGCATCAGTCAATCTGATTTGCTCAAGTATCACCCAGAATGTATTTGGCCATGGCTTCATGCTCTGCATGAGAGTAGTACATTTGAGACTGGCTCAAAATGAAATTCCAGCTTCGGTTTTCTGTGAAATAATTTCAAATATACATAAAAGCACCATAAAATAAAACAACAAAAACTGTCATCACACACTTGATTTGGCTGTGAGGGCTTATACTTTAAAAATGCCCTTTGATGCACTTCTCTTCCTGTGTTACTGAACACTGTAACATCTAAGATAGCAGTGTATGCAGACTTAGATAAGATAAGATAAACGTTATTGATCCCACATCGGGGAAATTCACATTACGAGTTAACCAGCAAAGTTTGAGCTCCTTTGTTGCTGCGCTCCTGTCCAGTACATAAACACAATATGTGATATATAACGGAATTCAATGCATTCTTTAAATTTTAGGTTAACAAGTGTTTCTTGTTCATCAGTCCGTTAAAGTGACGGGCATTCTGCGCATTCAGACAGGCAGCTGATGGAAGAGAGTGCATATGTGAAAGGGCTAAAATAGAAATGATGAGGTTATTCATGCTGTGTGTGCAGATTGTTGTGTGGAGTTGGGGACGTTCAGGTGGCTATGACCCTAACTTACATGCCAGCATTCAGCAGGCCAACAGCTTGTTTTTGTCTTTCTGCTGTCACCTGTGTCATCATGTCATTTGAATAAAGCTGCATTTTTACGGTGACCTTTAATAGCCAGTTGTAAAAAGGAGTATCTGTGTACTGAGCACACTTTCTAATCATGAAGCCACACCTCGCTGGGATGTGGATTAACTCAGTGGTTGAAAATTTGCCACCAAAAAGTTTTTTGTGCACAATTGGCTAAATTAGGCGTTTTATAACTAGAACAGAGTTTTCCATACATTTGCGTGTTGCATTTATATTGTTGTTTGGCATCGTTGACTGTTTTCTGTCCTCACACCCTGACATTCTAGAACTAATAGTAAACTGAATCCTGTAGGAGTTCTTTCTTGAGTTAACATGAGAAACAGGCCAAATGTTTAAAATCTTTTTTGCAGCATATAAATGATGCCTACACACTGCGTATCTTGCAAGTTTGCAGGCTTTTTTCACTGAAGACAGTTTGACATGTAAGAGTTGGAAAAGCACATTCTGTTCTAATAAGCTGAGCTTTGACATTTCAAGACGTCTTCCAGAATAAAGGTCATTTCAATATCTGACCTAGGTGTTCTGCACTATTTCATGTTGTGTTCTCACTAGCTGTGATTTGGATTGGTGTCCATCATTTTGCTTGTAAATTTCTGACAGTGTCTGGTTGTCGTCGCTGAGTATCTAAAGTGGCCATCAAGGATGTAGTCTTTTCAGTGTAATCTGTCATCACGCTTATTAATTGCCGACTGCACATTTCAACATGTTTTTTCACAATTGTCTACTTTGTGTCAGACTGGACAGATTCCAGCCTGTGGGGCAGTGTGGTTTCAGCTACAGGTGAGAAAATGACCCAAGAAACAAAATTCTTGTAACACATTTAAACAATGCATGGGGGTATTAAAAGGAGGCTTTCATGAGGCTGCAAATCATAGTTATTGACAATGATTTTATCTTATGTAATGATGCTCTCCAGGGTAATAGTAGGAACACTGAGTTCATGTTGCACCTTAATCTATCAGGAAAATGTATAAATTCCACACCTTCCCTGATGATGTATTTGCTGTTCCTTGTTGTTTTGAACGCAGCTTAAAAAGGTTTAATGCCATTGAAGCAATGTCAATATCAATATGGCAACATGCAAGTTATAACTGGGGGAAAAAATACCTTCACCATTCCATGAGTGACAAGTTGGAATCGTTTTCTGTGAACAAACAACAGAACTGCATTAATTATGTACTCTTGAATGAAGAAGTCCAAATAATGTACTTATTTTTTGCTTTACTTACAGGGTTGACGTTCCTAAAACCGATCTCTATTGGGTTAGTGAGATTAGTGATAGGGACTCCCAACTCAATCGCTACAACCTCATCAGCTAAAACAATGCTTTTCCTCGCATCCTAAACAAATCAGAACAACTACAAAATATTAACATAATTGCATAGATATCATTCAGGATAAAACTGATATTTGAATGGTGATTCCTTACCGAAGACAGACTAAAGAACCGGAGAACAGCTGCAAATGGTGTAGTGACGTTTAGACTGACAGCTTTTGCAAAAGCTTCTTTAGGGATTGTAACAGATCTTGAAAATGCAGCCAGATTTTGTTCGAGGTCTATAAACTGCAGAGAAGAACGCAATAAAACATTGTAGTTAAAAACACATTAATATAATTTTAAATTTCAACAGTGGGTGACACTGAAGTGAGCTGGCAGACAAACCCCTGCCATAAACATATTGTAGTCACTACATAAGAATAAGACTGATTTCAGTCAGCCTGCACCTATTGGAAACCCCTACTTTCACACTCCTGTTTTGAAATTTACAAGTAGCTTTCATTTTAAAAGCTTCACCAGCCACAGTTGTGAGGGAAGTACTTAGAACATTAACAAGAAAACACTATTTTGAGTAAGTCTGTCACGTGTAGTCGTCATTATGTGAAATTTTTAGGCACAATTAAACGTTTTTAAATAAATAATATTGCAGCACGTTTACAGGAGTATATCCCTAAGCGACACCGCTTTCATATTAAATGTTTAGAAATAGAATCACTGCATTTTTTTCTGAACTAACAAGTTGAGTTCTTCTTCTCATGAGCCGCTAAAACAAATACTTCTACTGGCTTTAACAGGTTGTGGTTGTAGGATTTAGTGGCATCCAATGGTGAGGCTGCAGACTGGAACCAAATGAATAGCCTTCGCTTCCCCCTCTCTTTCTAAAACTGTAGAACCAATGATGTCCATTGCTTCAGTGTAAAAAATGCAAAAGGCCTTCTCTAGAATCAGTGGTTGGTTTGTCTGTTCTGAACTACTGTAAAAAACAAAACATGGGAGTGAATATATATAGTGGGCTCTGTGGAAGAGGGCACAATGATTGGTGATTATACACTAATAAACAAATAATCATGAGTACAATATTGTGTTTCATGTTAGTTTTTGAATTCTTAAGATGTTTCTAGGACTTTAAACCTAGAGTTAAGGTTGCTGGTTCCCTTTCTCAGCAATCCTTGCTAAGCTAAGCTAATCACGCTGATGCTACATTAGCATGTGACTGAGAAAATCGCTATGTTCAGAGATGTAGTAGTATTTAGTGTTCTGTATTGAGAATGTCGTTGACACAGCTCATATATGTAGGTCAAATAAAAGCAATGTACCCACATTCATGTCGTCATTTGGAGACACATTAACAAAGGATTTTCCATCTAATTCCTCTGGCTCAGGTTGTAGCAGTATTATTCCCTTGGTGTCTTCTCCCACAGATAATGCAGCAGAAGATTCATTCAAGTTTTCAGCCATTTTGCGCATTCCTTTCATTAAATCACTGTTGAGTGACAAAAGAATATCTTACAGATGTAATGCATCACAGTGAAATAGTGTAAAAAAAATGTGATTTTGCTGTTGTATTCTAAATGCAGTGGCAAGAAAATGTGACTAAACGTTTGGGAATTATTTCTATGAATGTATGAAGTTATCTGAAAAATATGGCCAGATAGTACAATTTCTAATTATGACAAATTCATTTACATAAATATGGAAGGCTGAAAAATGCTAAGAAAAGCAATTAAAATGCATAAAATTTCAGCCTTTTCTCCACCACTTTGTACTTTGAGGACCTGTGATAACATTTTACAGGGTTTCATCGCATGTACTCGGGTTACTCTACAAAAACACAAATCTGCTGATTCTGAGCGGCCCGGGTGGGAACTTTTTTGAGATTTGGTTGTTTTTAGATGGACTGACCCAAGTAATGATAATATTAATAATAATAAATCCCAAGAAGGATGGTGCAGAGGTAAGTTCTGCACCTCTCAGGTGGAAGGTTCTTCCAAACCTGGTATCTTTCTGTGTGGAGTGTGTAGGTTCTTACGAGGTGCTCTGGCTTCCTCCCACAGTCCAAAGACATGCTGTGCTTAATTTGTGATTCTAAATTGCTCAGTTGTCTGTTTCTCTATGTGGCCCTGTGATAGAATATAGTGGCCTGTCCAGGAAGTACCCTGCCGTCACCCTAAGTCAGCTTGAATAGGCTCCAACCCCAGTACAGAGGATAAAGCGATGTAGAGAAACTGAATGGATGGATAAAGCATGTCTTACGCAGCTTTACTGGCATCAACTTTTCCTCCTTCCCCTGAAATGTTCTGTGTCAGATGTATTGCCTTCTCAGGGGTTTTCACTGGATTTTTGCAGTTGACACAGGTGCAGCTTGTTTTTGTTATACTGATTCGGTACTTGGCTGATCGACCTGAAAGAGAAGCATATTTAACTTCATCTCAAGTGCATGCAATATTTTAACAACAAACATTTATTGGAATCCAAATCAAGAAGAATAATTTTCCTCTTTGGCAGCATAATTGATAAACACATATCTAATATATTTGAGATAGCGGTAAGATAAATTACTTATGGTACCACTTTTCATACAATTATATGAAGCACTATAAGTTGGAAACAATTTTTTTTCTTTTAGCCCAGTAACAATATTATACAACTCTTCCAGATGAGACCACAATTGGAGTGGTTTCCCTTATACATGAATACATGCTGAAAATATTGCCCATAAATGCAAAAAATATATACATATTTTTTTCTCATAAAGTTTACCTCTGACTGGCACCCTACTCTATATTTTAAAGCTCCTATAGATGCCAATCACAGAGGGGAATCTGCCTCTTAGGGTGAAAAATAAAGGTTTTATAGTTGGTAGACAGAAATTTTTGGACCAAATTGACAGCATCATATAACTGGTTTGTATTATTCTATCAAAGTAGGGTTGTACCATTGCAGACCACATGTACACGTCAATGAATCTATAAAATTTCTGAACTCTAGCTACATTATTTCTAAAGTTATGGCACTTCAAACTCAACTGACTGGCACAAAGAATGCAAAAATCGACAAGACCTCACCCTTCTTTAACAATTTTGAACTCAAAAACTAAAGTTGTCTGTGACTCCAGATTTTACACATGATCAACTCAATCACGATTTAACACTTTTTAAAGAAAATACCTGCCAAAGTGAAGATGGTCAGGCATAGGGCATTAAGTGAATTGAGATGGAATGACCCTATAATGTGTTGTAGAAATGATCAGTAAAGCCATTGGGGGCCTATAAGCCTCCTGTTTTTTAAGGCAGCCATGATTTTACATGATCACTTGCCTGTCTCTGAGTTTATGTCACTGTTGTGATACATATTGTGTTAATCAGTATTGATATTTACAGTTTTAATAGTAGTTTGGTTGAAGAGTTCCTGTTTTGCATGACAGCCATCTTAGAGACGTCGTTCACAGCATGATTAGCATCTGATATTGTGCACTTGTTGGTCGCAGCAAAGAAATACAGAAATAACAGTAGTTGCAGATGCAGCCATATTCATTTTATTGACTTAACTGAAGGGAACTCACCGCTACAGGAGCCTTCTTTATAGGACTGTTCTTTGCACTCAGGTTTTGTTTGCACACATTTAATCTGGCAAGAATCTGACAGAAATGAAGTAACACTGTATTAAACATCACTGGAAAATATAAATCTAGAATAATAACATTGTGTTCTTAATCATTTATTCTAGTTTATTCAATTGATCACTTGAAAGGTGGGAAAAAAAGTCAATATTAGACTTTTGATGTTGTTTGACTAATATTTAAAAAGAAAAAAAATTCAAAGAGACTTAAATGTCATTCAGAGTTTCCAATTTGATGATAATGTTTTTATTAGCTTTGATTTTATCATTTCATTTTTCTATCTGAAGTGTAACATAGATGAACTTACCTGTATCACTATGATTGAAAACACATCCTAAAAAACAGATTAAGAAAAAAGTAACATCAGCTTTTATATTTTTATAGTGTAAATTAGAACTGTTCTTTTAACTATCTTATGGCCTTTGTGGCGCTTGCAACTAGAAAGGTGACTTTGAATAATGTAAAGCACATATCTGCTGTATCACCTGTCATGTTAAACATTGTGGTGTTGCAGTGCGTCCCATTCAGAATATACAGACGCAAGTCATTTTTGACTTGATTTTCTGTCACGTTAAATTGGTAAGACTCTCCATTATTCTCCACTTGAAGGAACATCTCTGGTAAATAAAAACAGAAATGCAGTTACATTTTGATTTAATTGAAATGCTGATACAAGTTTTACAAACTCCAGGATTCTGTGAATATATAACCACATCTTAGAGCAATTCATGAAACAGTTACAGAATTATTTGTGCTGATGCTAAATTAATGAACCAAGAAGTAATTTGCACCATCACGAAATAATAATTTCAGATCTTTTCACGATTGACTGGTGACTTTGTCTCTGTATAATTAACCAACACAAAACGCAACTTTTAAATCACAGCACACCACTTTTCAGAGCATTTTGCATGTCACGCTAACACATTTCAAATTTTCGTGCCATTTTGTCCTCACTGTGAAGAGACAACGTTAAATTAGAAATCACTGACATATAGGTGGCGCTTCAGCCCCCGACCAAACGCAACTGGCCACTTTGTATAAGCATGATCCTAAATATATGATGCAGTTTAACTTTTGAATCTTTTTGCATTTACGTAGCTGGTTAGCAAGTAAAGGATTATGTTAGACAATAAAAGTTTGTAGACCACTAATTTACCCATTTTAGCCATCATTTTTCTATAAATATGACCTTGATCTTTTGAAACTGGATGTAATAAATGAGGGTTGGTTCTGGTTGGAAACCCAAGGACACAACACACGATGAAACATTGCACTTTATCATTTCTTTTACTCTAAATATCACCAAAATGTACCAAATGAATATCGTATTAAATACAAAATGTCTTGGAACTTGCGCCTGAGACCACAAACTCATAGGAAAATGTTTACTCATGTAAGAAATCGAGTGAGAAGTAGGGTCTTTTCAAAAAAAAAAAAAAAGACATTCATTCAGTTGAACTTCTTTTGCAATCAGAGAAGTCACCCCCTGCTGAATGTTACAAAGGTTTAAGGCACTTCAGCACTGACTTCACTTTTCAGACCTAGAGGCTATGTGCTGTGTTGGTGCAAACCACTGACTGTATATATGATATGAGCTGTTATATGACATGTTAAACTCTCCGTGACGGTGTTTTTGAAGCTCAGTGTGGTTGCTCCAGCTGTGTCATCTTAGCAGTGCCTGACTCCTCCTAACCCACAGCTAATCCAAAAATGAGTGAAGAGATGGAACGTGGGTGAAACTGAGGCGGACCATGTAAACCAGTCTGGACCGTGGACTTTCCTATGATGGCACCCACCTGACCTCAATTGTGCATAAATTTAAGTCTTAATATAATTTGAATGGATGAGTTCCATAAAAAAAATTGCCCTCCTGTACCTTGCCGTGTACTTCTGGTTGTGCACTTCTGCAAAAATATTAGGCAAGCATGTCCTGCAGAGAGGTAAAAAAAAAAAGAGCAGTAAAGATGCAGTCCTACATCTCTTAAAACATACTTTTATGCAATATTTTACAGCAGTTTCCAAAAAACATTATATGCAAATAACATCTAATCAAGATCTATTTATTATTTACATAAGTTTAACAGATGCAAATTTGCCTTGTTCGCCTAGTTTGGACTAACTACACTTACAGGACTGTTTTTAATTGGTCAGGACAAAACATACATTCACCTGTTTTGTAGTTCATACTCACTGGGAGTTGAAGCCAATCAGAAGATGCGCAGACAGAGAAACAGGTACAACCAACACAGGTTGCCAATCTATTGCAGGACTAAAGGCTGCGTGAAATGAGCTAGTCCATACAAAGTGTTGTTAAAGCACATCTGAAGTCACAACGTCACGCATAGCAACTGTTCACTTCAGACACTTCTTTCCCCGGTATTTTACGTACTACTAATTAAAGGCATACTGGAAGGCTACCTACAGGGAGGGACCCCATGTTAAAGACTGTCAAAGGGGATAGGGTCAGATTTTGGTGGAGTCAGATGTTCAATATATACAGTGCTGCCCGTTTATTATCATACCGTCATACTGGGATTATGACTATATCTGGGATATTCCAATAAACGGGTTTCAAGAGCACTGAGAAAATTGTGTCTGTGTGACAGAAAAACGGGGGTTGATACGTAAAGTCAAAATGGGAATGTTTTCACAAGGTCAAAGGGACAGTTTCTTTGACGATCAAGACATGTTTATTCAATCGGTTTTATGGTTCTGCTTCAGTGAAATTTCACCTTTGTCGGTACAAAAAGCCACCCCATCAATAAAAGTTAATCAGAGGGTAAACAGAGGATTCACTTATCATGATTAACTAGCTGAGCAGTTCACTTATGAGTGACGACATGCTCTGCAGCAATGCGATTCTTTTTGATGTGCCCTAGTAAATGTCAGACAGTGTGTGAATAACTCAGTGAAGCAGATCTCAGGTGAGCAGGTAACTGACAAACAAACAAACAAACACATTGCCTTCCGTGGCTGACCGGGGTGTGATAATCTGCCACGTATGACCAACGCTCGGCCCGTAAGCTGTAACGATCGGCCGACCGTGACTTTAAATTGGAATCAATTTTAGGGAATTTCATTATGACAAAAACAGGATTATGACATTATTCTATGACAATAAACGGACTGTTTTACTATAGGTTATATAGCAAATGATTCAGCTCTTTTATGATTATAAACGGGATATTCTATAAAGCACTGTACGGTACAGTGCTTCCCACTTAATGTCACTAGCATATGGTACAGTCTGTACCATAGTGCAGGAACTTGGGATCAGTGACGAGTCCAGTTCACATAGAACAATGAATGGTTTGCTGTACTAGCCTATGTGATAAATTTTACGTTGTTGATGGAATATGTGTGGAGAGCCACATAGCAGTTTTCCAGGGCTGTTCAAAAAGCAAAGAAAAAAGTATTTACTCCAGAGTAGATACTTTTTACTACCCCCAAAAATGGCTCTTAAAGTGACCCGGTCACTTCAACGACAATTACTTAACTGGTGCACAACCCAATAAAAGTTCTCTTGCATTATTGTTTGCCCCACTGGCAACGATTACTGGTGCCTACTCATCATGTTTGTGGTCGCAAGTGTCATGTCTATTGATGTTTCCTCCACGGTGATGTATTGAATTAATGCTTTTTGACCAAAAGGGGATTTTTTTCTTTGCAATAACACA